GCTATTGGATTATACTTTTAATATCTCTTAATGGTTTCTCACTGATTATTTGTAGCACTTACCTTAGGCCTAAAACTTTCTCAACAAACCAATCAGTGAAAAACCAGCAAAAGTTCTATGTCGCTTTTTAATGAACGTGCTAATTATGCGAGCATTTATAATGTTTGAATAACGGTGGGAAATGCAAGACCACTGCTTTCTTGATTTTTTATTTTTTGTTTCTCCTTTTCTTCTCCTTTTTTTTTTTTTTTCTTTTTCTCTTAAGTTAGGTATTTGCCCTCTTCTCTTGATCCTTAAACATTTAATTTTATTTATTTATTTATTCTTTCTCAAGTAAATGGGTAGCGTATGTTATTTTTTCTTTCTTATTTAATTGATATTATTAATTATTATTTATTTTTAAGTATAAAGGGGTGGCTCTTGATTGGGATTTAGTTGTAGGTATAATTTGAAAAAAAACTGTAAGACTTAACTTTCTTGTTATATGAGTTAATTTTCATTAGAAACAATAAAGAATTGAATTGAATTGAATTGAACAACTCAATGTCACCCAATCTTTCAGATCTTATAAACATGAGGGCTAATTCGATCATGTTCCAACATTGATACCAGAGTTTAGAAGTTTTGCTAGAATTTGATAATAAATTTTTCAACAATTTTCTAACGAATTTTTGCAGCTATAGGTTTGAATGTTGTAAGATCACAAGAATTTAGGTTTTCAGTATAATTTTGTAGACTGGTTTCATCATTATAAGTTCAAAGTTGCTACAATTGTAATAACTTAGCAACACTGCTGATGATCGCTATTGTAGCGCTACGTCCTCATGAACAGGTAGGTATCATGTGTTTTTCAATTTTTAGATATAATTGAAGCTCAAGCCGTATTGGCCCATTATTTAAAGACCCATAAGTTCTTTGTTTTTAGGCCGATTTTCAAAAACAAAAAACGATTTTGTAGGTATTTTTATTTGCAAAAATTTTGTTCTCCTGTAGATTTTTGAAAAACTTTATAGTTTTTGAGATATTTCCAAAGAAATTTAAAAAAACACAATTTTTTGAGTTTGAAGCCCGATTGGGCGAGTACGGCCCATGCGATTTAGTGCGATTTTTAAGGAAACATTGTCGACCACCTGAGGAAGGTATCCTGAAAATTTCAGCTTGTCCCAAATTTGTTCCGGGTTGCCCCATGTAAACACCTTAGTTTTACTAGCCGTTTCAAAATGGTTTTAAACCAATGTCAAAAAAGTGGATGCGAGAAAACGGCTCTGGATTCCCTATAGGTCATCTATTCTCAAAACAGGGGATAAGCGACTAGCGTGAAATGAGAACGAAGGTTCTGTCTTAATTGCCCATATTTCTATTTCCATAAGACAGAGCAATCGTTCTTTCTCGTGAGAACGTTTCTTCCCGGTTTCGAGAATAGGCATCCTGGACAACGTTGCCGTCTCTTTCAAAATTTAATTTTCGATTTTTTCTTTTATATCTACGAGCATATTTTTTTTATTCGTTTTTAGCGGTCTCTTTAGAATCTGGTTGTGTGGGGGCCCCTCAGCTCTGGGGGCCCGACGCAGAGTGCGTCGTTTGCTTCATGCTAGATCCGCCACTGGTACATAAACAGTACTTCAAAAGCACTTCTTTTAGCAATACTTTTAAAGCACTTTTAGAGCACCCCGCAATGAATGTGTCTCGGTGGAGTGCTTCTACGATAGTGCCTAATTTTTAACGGCCAGCTGGACATCCCAGAAGCGGCTGAGTGGATTTCCAAAGTACTTCTCAGGCATTCAAGTGTAGAAATGCGGTACAATTGAAGTACTTCTTATATATTTTTGTGTTATCTGGGAAACTTGGATGTAAAAAAGTTTAATAAGCCGGAAATTGCTATTTTCTACAACCTCCTTAACAAGCAACATCGTTTAAATTTTCTTACCTCTATGAACACGAAGTGCACCACAATTTTCACCTGTCATTGTAAAAAAAGGGTGTTGCCGGACTGTGATAAAATTCTATTGGATTAGGTAGAATACACATTAAACGAATTTTTAAATGTGTAGGTTTTTGATTTTATGGACGGAATCAACTAATATTTATATAAAATTGCAACAACGGCCGACTACCGGGTGGGGGCCGACTATAGGCGCATCTACCCTATCCACCCAGGAAGTGACGGTCACGTACGTGCTGTGACAGTCAAAACAACCCATGGAACTTATAAGCGAGCAATGTCAAAAATATGCCCGCTTCCAACTGATGATGATGGTTACAGTTTTGAACGTGCCGTTCAAAGGGGGTTTTGAACGTGCCGTTCAAAGGGGGGAGTATGTTCAAAAAGAAAGCGCTACGGATGGCCCCCCTGTCAGCGCTGCGTTCGAAAACTGTCCCCTGGGGGATGGTGATGGAGGGGGAAGATGACAGTCGGAGACCGCCGAGGGCCTTCGAGTTTTCGAACCCTAGTTTGGTTTTGGTGGATGTCAGTTGTCACTTGATTTGTCAGCTGTTACCGGTCGGTTGTTGTTTATTTATTATAGCAACATAAACCTATTATTCTTTCAGGAAACTTCAAGTCTTTGCCAAAAACATATTATCTATGTTTGTTTATTATAAATCATGGATCAGAGGGAGCGGAATATTATATTGGCGATCGCTATTAGTGCTAGTCATCACCTCCTGGACACCTTTATTTTTAGAACAGAATCCCAGCATCAAGTAGAAGGCGTCATAAATCTGCAGATGTATTATTTAAACCAGATCATGGTGAATTTGAGAGGAAGACGACAAAAACCTGTACGTATTGAAGGCTATTTATTAAGGACCATTCCAAATATGAATTCAAGTCAATTTCGCCAGCACTTCCGCATGAAGCCGGAGGTGTTTGAAAATTTAGAAAATATATTGGGACCTAAATTGGCGAAAGCAAACAACGTTGGACGTTCAATGATTCCTGTGCGCACTCAGCTCCTAATGACTTTGTGGTTGCTAGCCACTCCTGATTCTTATCGGTATGTATAATTTTCAAAATTTGTATGATAAATATTTTATTACTTTTATATTTAGCAGCTGTAAGTGGCAATGCCGATGAGACTGCAGCTGTATAAATCAGTCTTTCGTTTGGTTTTAAAATCACAGAATATTATGAAATATTATAATACTCTTGTCAGAAAGGTCAATACATTTTTTTCAGATCCGTTGGGGACCATTTTGACGCAGGAAAGTCATCAGCCAGTGATTCTTTTGTACGGGTTATAAAAAGTCTGTGTAGTATCTCTGGAGGGTTTATTAGATGGCCAAATGCAGAAGAAACTAGGGAAATAAAAAGAAAGTTCTTTTCTTGGGCAAGGCTGCCTGATGTAATGGGAGCAATTGATGGAACAGATGTAGAAATTAAAGCTCCAAAGGTATGATTTAAAGTACTGTTCATCAAGGTTCGAACATAGGAAGATTATTTTTTACATAACACTTCTCTTACCTTCAACACTTAAAGGGAAATTAGCAGCAAAAATGTTATTTAGCACATAGCTGAGCACGCACTTTATTTGTACTCTGCCTATGTTGGTTCGCACCTTGGCCTTGGACTACAGTACAGTGTTTCTCATGCCAGAGGGACTCTAGGCTACTAATAAAGGTTGCTGTTTTTCGCTAATCTGTGAGACTGTGCCATTTTTTTTTTTGTGAAACTTTTAATGCCACAAAGAGAAGTAATTTAGCCTGTTTCGCTTCTAAGATACAGAGTGTTAAATGAACTTTTTCACTTTTCGGATTGGGACATATCTCACATACCATGGAAAATAAAAAAAAGAAATAAGAAATGCTCCTGATAGACATTTTAGATTAGTGAGGTACCAAAAAAAATTAGATTTTTTGTTTACGGCTTTAAAAGTTTCTCAAAAAATTAACATATGTTTGTGAAAACAGCAAGTTTCTATCTTTAATAATAGTTGAGAAACCATACCGTTGGAACCAAAATGGGACACACTATACTGTATGATCTAAAAGCATAGAAAGTGTAGCAGTTACACGTTACACTTTGGTACATATTGAAATTGTTTTCTAGATTGAATCTCAGGCATACATCAACAGGAAAAGAAAGTATACAGTCATCTTGCAGGCCGTATGCCAGCCCAATCTAAGGTTTCTGGATTGTTTTGCTGGTTATCCTGGGAGTGTGGGTGACCTTCGTGTTCTAAAGAACTCCCCACTGTATTTAAAAGCTATGAGAGATACAGCTGCCATGTTTCCAGATAATGGGTACATCATTGGGGATAAAATATATCCCACCCTTTCCTGGCTGATTACTGCTTACAGGGATCATGGTGCATTGACTCAGGTTTATATAGATCTGCTTACTGCCTGTGCATGATTTCTAACTCAGTATGCCTCTTTCAGGTGCAAAAAAATTTCAACAAAGCACTTGCTCGGACTCGACAAGTGATCGAAAGAGCATTTGCTTTACTGAAGGGAAGGTTCAGAAGACTGAAATACCTAGATATGAATAGGATAGATATGGTATCCTATGTCATTTTGGCATGTTGTGTGTTGCACAACATTTGTTTGGATGGTGTCCATGATGACATCGAAGAGTTTGTAGAGGAGGGTCGTCAAAATATTAATCTGAGAGGGAACAATGAAGGGCGGGATGCCATAGGAGCTGCACCACAGGAAGAAGTCGGACAGGCAAAAAGGAATTATTTGGCAGCTATTGTACCAATAGTAGAATAATTTTTTGTAAAAATGTTTGTATTGACTGACACTTTTAACTTTACAAATTCATATCTGAAAATAATTTTGGAAAAAAATTGATTCTTCCTATGATTATATAAACATTACCTTAATAAAATAGAATTGTTTTTTTTTTTTTTTTCAAAACAAAACTTTATTTTCATACTTGTATATTATCCTTAATATTATCACTTTTCATTTGCACATTAATGAGTACATTTAAATCACAAAAGAACAAAGGAAACAAATTTACTAAACCTAAACTTAAACTCTTTGGAATTCACATTGGCTCCCTTAAATAAACTAAAAATATTACATTAATACAAACTTAAAAATAATCTCGAAACTTTTACTACTACTTTCAACCTTTCAAGGCAATTAACACCTGACTTCAATGCAAGTCAACTTAATGTTAGGTATAGGATACAGTAAATAATTTAAAAACTAGAGTTGTTGCTTAGTTTGAAAAGCAAACTTAAAAACAATAATGGATTACAGTTTGTCAATCAAACGATTCATCACCTGCTGGTACGTGTCAATTGCAGTCTGTTGCGTAGTGAGCACTTCTTTGTGACGGCTGATTCCTCTCCTTCTCATCGTCTTTCTGCTTAATAGAAGCTAACAGAGAATCAACTTTATTCTCAAGTTTTGTTTTTTTTTCTTTCCTCTCTGTTGCGTTGCTGCTCTCATCTTGGGATGAGAATGATGATTCAGCATCACCATGATTATTTAATATCTTGTCATCACCTGCTGTTAAATTGCTGGCTGTGGATAAAGGTTTCACTGAGACACTGTTCCTACTAACTTCTTCCATGTCGTCATAAAACTTGAACCTTATTGGAACAGCTCCACTACTAGTATCTTTCTGGTTATCTTTTGTTTTATTATATTTCTTTACTAGGTCTTTGAATTTGCCCTCACACTGTTTCCAAGTAAACGTCCAGAACTTGTTGCCTAGTTTTGCAGCTGCAAGCTCAGTTGCTAAGTTTTGCCACTTACGTTGGTTTGAAAGGGCAGTGCTATCAAATAGGGATTTTAGCTTTACTTTTCGTAGGTAAATGAGGTGTCTGATAGCATTATCATCGTGCCATTTAGCAGCATTTTTAGCTACGCTGTCATCTTCATCGTCTACAAAAATAGAACTATAAGGATGCTAGGCTTGTTACAATAATGAAATAAGATATTTGTTGTTGAAAAATAAATTAAAAGATTGAATGATTAATTAGACTGAGAACAATGAAAAACTTAAGTCAAAAGATCATAAGAAGTACCTAAATGCATACCAAATTCATCCTGAGTTGTGGCCATGACATCGGGGTTTGCAAGAGAGTCACCACTACCTAGGCCTATGGTCTCCTGGGTCTTCATCATAGAAGTCTCGATACTCTCCAGTTCCACTTGGGAAGTCAACTTTTCCGGGAATGCCTCGGTTTCCAGAAGCATTACGACTGTCTGGGCTAAAATTATTAATTGGTAGTATTGGTACATACCATCATCGGGCATCATGAAACGGTAACGTCGCGAAAAAGATTGAGGATATAATTATTTTCTATACTTACATTTCGTGTTAAAATAAGCCACCAGATTAGGATTTTCTTCATCCCTAAGTGGTTGTTGTGCCTTATTTACGCACAAAACGTGGACGGTTGGATCAAACTTTTCCATTTTCCGAGGTTTGTGTTTCCGAGTGCTCACGGAAAAATAAGGTTAAGGTTAGTTCCCACGGTTCACGGTTATTCGAATTCTTTTCCCGCGCTAAAATACCCAACCGTCCCTACCTAGTCGAACAAGGTGTAAATCTCCCCGATCGGGTGCACCGAGGACGTTTTCGAACGCCATTCCCGAGCGTCCCCGAGTGTACCCAATGAGTTTTCGGACGATATCGAGGTAGCCGGGGAAACTCGGGGACTGTTTTCGAACGCAGCCCAGAGCGAACCATGTCGCTACCGACGACCCCTCTAAAACCAAAGAATGGGCCGGTCCAAGCAGCAAGCAGCGGACGAACGACGCAGTGCCGGTAACGGCGACTTAGAACAGAGCAAGACCTTCGACAGAACAATACGTTTATTTTTTGAATTGTCAAATTTTGCCTGCGAATAAAATAATGATAATTGTGTAGTTGAATCTTAATTAAAAAATACAGTCCACTCATATTGAAGAGGTGAAGCAACACCAGCCAATTATTTCCGTGAAAGCAACAATACAACTATTAATTTGCATGTATACGTACTTACTTTTCTTATTTTATTCAATTAAAATTGGTCCCAAATAGCATCGTCGCTCGTCGCTCGTTGCTATTCGCTAGTCGACAACGAACGGCGTTCGAATCGAGCACGAATTTCCTTTGATGATTCGCTGATTTACCGACACGCGATCGAACATGATCGAACACGAACGAATGTGTCCGCTCGTGCTCTCTTCTCCATGCAAATTAAGCGAACAGAAGCGAACGAATTCGTTCGTTCGCTTGTGTTCGCTTTAATTTAAATGCGGCTTTTCGTCTTCGTTCGCTGTATCTGTACGCGCCTTAAGGATTGCTTATCTAAGGAAGCCCGGTCGCATGGAGGTAAGTAACATCCTGTTTAGCATTCGGTAATCCGTTCGACGATGGTTCGGTTTTTGAAATGTAACACCCGTGGTTGCATGCACGTGCGCTTTATCGAGTGTTACTTACCCTCGTTATTAAGCCTATTACCATCTTGTAATATTATTTTAGGGCATTGAAATATTAAAACATAAGTGCAAAATGTAATTAATATTGTTATATTAATATAAATTATATACTGTTCGTTCGAATTTAGCAGATAAAAACAATAAAAGAGTGAATATTTTTCGAAAAAAGCAGTTTTAGAAACGTAAATACAAATGCATACTCCAAAAACATTAAAGATAACTTAATTCTGAAACCAGATTTGAATTTGTAATAAAATTCTCTAAAGCTTTTCTTTATTTATCCAATCCTGTAGCTCCAGCCAAATCTGAGATACACTGTATACATACATATACAGGGTGTCCCACTACCCAGTAAACACATTTGTTACATTGACGTAAATTTTATGTTAATTTGAAAGCACATTTTTATCTGCAATTATTTTATGTCAGGTTTATGTAAGTATTATATAAAATTATACAATGTAAAGACTGAAACATAATTTTCACATAAAATGTTAAATATACTGCCTATATAACTGAGAAAATATAAGTTTTATATAAATTTGGAGGAAATTATCGACATGCGGAAGCAAAGTATCCATTGAAATGTGATTTTTATGTCATTTTATGTAATATACCATTTATATAACCCAAACGATATTAATTTTACAGAAAATTGGTACTTCAATTTCACATTATTCTCTTACATCAGTGTCATATAAATTTGACGTAAACTAATTATAGACGTTCAGTATGTAACTGTGAAAATATCAATTTTACGTAAAAATTTCAATTTGGATTTTACGGAAAATGTTTATTTTAATTTTATGTAGTTTTAATATCAGCAAAACCACTATGGATCCTCTGTGGCTGCTCGGCTTGTCACTTGTCACGTGTATTTTTACGCCTCGCGCCTGACTGTCAGTGTTGCCGAAGTTGTCGATTTCTCGGTTTTCCTATCGAAATATAAAGATTGAAATCCTCTTTAATTGAAATCTACCATAATACCAAAAACCAAAAACTTATTGTTTTTTCACCAATTATTTATAGCAATATCCGCCGATATTGCCAATGTTCACGCAAAAAAAAACTACACGCCCAATTTTGTTGAAAAAAATTATATATCTGGACTTGGAGCGGGTGCCGGCCGGGCATTTTTTTAAAATATTTATTTCACCTGGCAACACAGCGTACCATCACTAGTTGCACCGCCGGTGACCGTTGGCTTCATCTGCTGATTGACTGATAGCGAATTGCATTGTAGCAATGCAGAAAAAATGTTTTTTATCTTTTTCTTATACGAGCTGGTAGAAAAAGACACGAATAGTACGAAGACACTCTGCTGCGCCCTAACCCTTCCAAAAGAATTCGTTACGATTGATTGTTCTTCGCCCCCGCCCTGTCCCTGACTGACGCCAGCCAGACTAGGTGCCCCCTAAAGTAGATCCTTTTTCCCGCCCGTACCGCACACGTGTAAATTGTTTAATCGTGAAATGAAGAAAATTGAAGTGTAGTATCTGATAGCGTAGTGCTCTAGACAAGTTTTTTTTTGTCTTTACCACTGCAGGCTTTGTTCTATATTATTATGAGCTTTGCCATTGCATTTTGGGTGGTTTCTAAGAAGGTTCGTTGTTCGTCGTTTGGAAATAGTGAATAGGTATAGAGTTACCAAGGACAGGAAACCGACTTACGCAGACAAAAAAACTATTGTGGTAAGTGTATAAAGATTAAAACTGAATATTTTTCATTTTTCTACCTCCAAATTCTACCTAACCTAAATTGTCAGTTCTAGCATGCCAAGGGATTTTGTCAATTTGTGTGAGAGACAGAGAAAAAGAATACTTAAAAGAGAATGTGAGAGAAAAATGAAAGTACCTAGAATAGAGATAGGAAATTCCTCGAGAAATTCATCAAACTTGGATGTTTATCATTCAAATGCACCTATTAACCTTGATCTCACACTTAATTTTAATGAAAATGTTAGTCCTACTCCTGTAAGTCCTGTATCGAGTCCTGTATGTAATGAAACTGAGAATGAAAGTGAGGCTGAACATGAAATTGAAATTAATTCAGAAATACAAAATTCACCCCTGTCCAACTGCGACTACAATGTAGCACCTATAAACTCATTTAGCCATGATGTGCCCCAAGAATTAAATTTACGTCAGTCTCAGTCATGTTCTAGAGAAGCTGATGCTTTCAAATCTTTTTCTGAAGATCTACGAGGGGTTTTTGTTAAACATAGGGCTTCTCAAAGTCTAATTAGTGACATTCTTTCGACTCTACGTAGGCATGGTCATAATAATCTCCCAAGTGATGCTCGAACTTTTATGAGTACACCTAGGTCAGGAAAACATAAAATTTACGAGTTAGAAAGCGGAAAATATATACATTTTGGGCTGAAAGAAAATCTAGTGAGACTTGTAAGGAAGTACAAATATTTTATCAATAAAATTTTAAACTTTAATATTAATATTGATGGGCTCCCAATAGCTAAGTCTTCACGAAGTCAATGTTGGCCAATATTGGGGGATATTTTAATTCAAAATGTTAACACTGAACCATTTACCATTGGAGTTTTCCATGGTTTTAGCAAACCAAAAGATTCAAGTGAGTTTTTGAAGTTTTTTTTAGAGGAATATAGGGAGTTGGAACATCATGGAATTTCAATTAATGGCTCAACTTTTCAAGTAAAACTAAATTGTGTGATTTGCGATGCTCCGGCGAAAGCTTATGTTCTCAATATATTGGGTCACACTGGCTACTTTTCCTGTACAAAGTGTGTAAGTGAGGGTAACATGTTTGAAAACAAAGTTGTATTTGTTAATGTGAAGGCAGCTCTTAGAACAAATGAATCATTTAGGAATAAATTGCAGTCTGAACACCATCATGGGCCATCAGCTTTTGAGAATTTAAATATAGATATGATAACCCAGTTTCCTCTGGATTATATGCATTTGATATTATTGGGTGTCACAAAAAGAATTTTATCTCTATGGCTTCTTGGTAATAAAGAAGTACGGTTAACAAAAACACAAATTGCACAGCTAGAGGAATCCTATGTATCAACAAAAGGATATATAACATCAGATTTTGCCAGAAAGCCTCGCAGTTTTACATCTTTGGCCATGTGGAAAGCTACAGAGTTTAGGTTATTTTTATTATATGTTGGTCCTGTGGTTCTAAAAAACATTTTAGGTAGAAAAGCTTATTCCCATTTTTTGTGTTTAGTAGTGGCTGTGAGGCTTTTGTCTAACAATGATATATCAGCAGAAAATATAGAATATGCAAAGGAATTAATGACTTATTATGTGAAAAAATTTGGATATTTTTTTGGCTATGGCCAGTACACACATAATGTTCACAATCTAATTCATATTGCTGATGACGCAAGTAATCATGGGTGTTTAGACAAATTTAGTTCCTTCAAATTTGAGAATAAATTTACACAATTTAAAAATATGTTAAAAAATTCTAGGTATCCACTACAACAATTATATAATCGAATTTCTGAAGAACTGTCAGTAGATGAACCAATAGAGATAAGAAAATATCCAAAAGTTTTTTTAAAGAAAAATAAAATTGTTAGGGTTCAAGTAAGCTTCACTACATTTTCCCTTAAGTTTAACGAAAATTGCTGCATTTTAAAAAATAAAAAAATATGTCTAATTGATTCTTTTTCAAAAATAGGAGACGATCTGATGTGTTTTGGTAAGTTTTATACAAGTTCCAAACCCTTTTTTAGTGCTCCTTGTGATTCAACCATACTCGGAATATTTCAGGTGAATAATAGTCAATTGTCCAACAAATTAATTTCCTTCAGCGTTCATGAAATTTCTAATAAGTGTTTGAAGTTAGTTGACGGATGTGATATAGTAGTTATACCTCTTCTTCATCATTTATAATATAAAAATTTATACTATATCAGGGTGTTACAAATTTGAGTGTGTGCATGGGGATCTCGGAAACCATAAGAGATATATGAGGTTGAATAAATTGAGGCAAAGTTGCACAATTTCATCCTAACAAAATATCGTTTTGAAAATTTAAAAATTTTGAATAGTACTAGAAATATTTGGAATAAACCAAAATTTCACAAAGGGTTTTTATTCTTATTTTTTTTTGAGCCCTTTTGAAGAGATATCCTTTCGGATATCCCAAAATAAATATCACTTCATCGTTGCCACTTTTTCTTTTCTACAAGATGCTACCATCAAATTTGAAATCTGACGTTTCGTTTTGGGCCACCATCATCAACTTCATTTTTTTAAATACGGACTTTTAATTTTAGATTTTATAAGCTTCTGATGTCCCAAAACCAATGATGTATTGCACCGCGTATTGCACTTATTGGAATAATTTATATTATTGTCAATTATTGTCACGTTCCATAAGAACTAAATATGTTACATCATGGGTTTTGGGACACCAGAATAAAGTTTGTGATGATGGCCCAAAGACGAAATGCCATATTTCAAATTTGATGGTTATATTAGCATTTGTAGAGGAGAAAAAGTGGCAATGATGAAGCGACATTTATTTTGGGATATCTCTTGAAATAGGCTCAGAAAAAAATAAAAACGCTTTTGTAAAATTTTGGTTTATTCCGAATAGTTCCAGAACTATCCAGAGTTTTTAAATTTTCAAAACGGTATTTTGTTAAGCATCAAGATGCGCAACTTTGCCTCAATTGAATAGACCTCGCATCTCTTATGGTTTCCAATATCCCCATGCACACACTCAAATTTGTAACACCTGTGTGCACTACAATACATACCATCCAATGTTTTCTAAGGTCAATCATTGGAATCACAGAACATGCCTAAATTGTTTTTTTTTTAGAAGTAATTCAATTCTGTGTAGGTACAGGGTCTTCCAAGGGGTCTTCCAAGGGGTCTTCCAATAAGGACTGAGCAGGAGCTTGTTTTTGACCTTCCTTGTATTTTTCAAAAAAATCTACAATAGCCGATCAAATCACATGCTTTATCGAATAAAATACCAGCAGAGAAAAAAATATTTCCTAAGATTTTTCATATTTAATGGTATTCATCAACCTTCTTTCTGGTCAAATGTTTTTTTTTCCAACAATTCAAATTCTATAAAATACATCGAGTGGCTAATTCTAACTTTTTTTAAAAATACAAGGGAAGTCAAAAATTAACCCCTTTTAGTACTTTGTTGCCCTGTACAGGGTGTTACCTTATATTTTGACCCTTACCTACAGCTTTAGCTATATGAGGTGGAAAAAAACTTTAAATATGAAAGTTGTAGGGTTTTATGTCTATTATCTTTTGCGAATGCCAAAATGGGCAAGTGACAGGTGCCAACTGTCATAATGACAAACCCTTGCATTTTTCAAATGGAACACCTTGTATATTTTTGGCTAGAATGATAGATTCTTTTCTTCTGATTCCAAATATACCATATATATTGATATTTGATTCAGCTGTTTTTATGCTATTCAAGTTTACCCTTTATTTAATCTGTCCGGGTTTCTTATACCAATGATGAGGCTTGCTCAATGCAATTTTAAAATTAAATAGCGCAATAACAACTGAACCAAATATCAACATGGTATGGTATATTGTATTTGGAATCAGAAACAAAGCTATCATTCTAGTAAAAAAAAAATAAATTCCACCTCGTATAGCTAAAGCTGTAAGTAGGGGTCAAAATATAAGGAAACATTTTTGGTAGATTTTCAACAACAAACATTGGCTCCTAGCAGTAATGATACTTTTTCAAGTTTGCAAATCCATTTGGTTCTATTGGTATTGTATTGGAATTTATACAGAATCCGAATATCTTTTAAAATTAGATACCTACAACTTCTTTTTTGTTGTAGTAAATTAAGTTGATCGCCCATCGTTCCAACTTAGTTTTTATTATTATAATTATTTATTATTATTTTTATTTTTAGTTACATTAAGTTAGATTAAAATGGCAAAAAAATACGCTGTGATATATTTTCCTGCAGAGAATATTTATTCAGAAATTCCAACGTCCTGGCTCACTCCAGACAAGGAGTACTGCTGGTGGCCAAATTCAATAAACTGCAAATCATTCATGACCAGAGATGAACCTCCAGATGAATCCACCTGGGCTCGTCACAGAATTAAATTTGAAGTTTATGCCTGTAAGTATTAACATATATTGGGTATTTTATATTTTTTCTGATGAAATGAAAGAACAAAATGCTCATTGCTCACGTCATTTCAAGACTAAAATGTGTTATAGATCTCAAAGGACACCTAAAATCATTTTTCAGTAAAGTAATACAAAAATTAAAACTATAAATACATACACACGTTTCGCTTTTTTGAGAATGAAGCGGCATCTTATATCACGTTTGGGTCTTAGAATTGATTGTGGATCCCCTTTATTTGATTTTGCCAGACTTATGTGATGTAAGGTAAACTTGCATTTGTATCAAAAGATAAATAACTATATATATAAAATCTTTTAGCCACTTTAGAAAGTGCCCGTAGAAAGGCAGAAAATCCGTCGTATATGACAGGCGGAGAAGAACTGGTGCCTAAGATAAGAACTAGGAAACCTCGGACAATAAGCAGCAACAGCAGCAGCTGTTTTGAGACAATTACTCCACCCCCTTCACCAAAAAAATTGAAAAAAAAGAAATTAACATCCACTAATCAGCTCAAAAAGGTGATGGCCCTTGGTGAGCAAACGGAAATCCCTGCTGAACAAGAAATTCAGGAAACAATCAAACTTCCCAACCCACCTGGCCAGGAAAAAAAAAAAATGGAAAATTCAACATGTAGTGGTAAATTTGATTTGTCATTTTTGGTAATCAATTATTACATTACTTATACAAAACAACTTGACGAATTGCTAGTTGCTGTTGGTATGTAGTATGTACCCTAACTGATTGTTGCATTTCAGTTCATTATTTAAAATTTCAGAAAAACTAAGCCTCACTGTTGCAAACATGCAAAAATATATTATCAGCATTGATAATAGATTAAAAACAATAAATGCTGAAGAAGGCAGGGTAGTGGCGGACAAAGTGATGGAAAATTTAAACAAAAATTTACCATTGACGTCTACGGAAAACGTACCGGAATTTGATGAAATGATGGAAAATGAAGACTTTAAAAATACCTATGTAAGTATAAAATCATATTTTAATTGAAAAAAAAAATAAAAATCGCAAATCAGTCTATGCAATTTTTTTAGAGAATCATTTTTAAAATTACTTTTCTTTTCTCATAAAAATTGATTGTTGTTGAACTGTTTAGATTTTTTGTTTTTGTTAGAAAAAACATAATTGTATTAATTAAAAATTTATTATTTTCCAATTATTCTCAACTTCAGGTACAGTTTATCAAGCGCATTGGAGGGCGAGATTTCAAAGACCATGTGAATAGGTCCTTGCCAAAAATATTCACCAATGACCTGGGTAAAGAATGCTCTTATATCGGATTGAGAGGAAATTATAAACTGCAAAAGTTTAATTTTATGCGAATTTTCGTAGGTAAGTGAATACTGAAAAAAAAAACTAAAGAAGGATTTTATGTCAGCATAAAAATATGGTCTGTCTGACACTGTATTTGAACTATTAGGTGGACTCGTGTAAGTCTGGAAATTACCTTATTCGAGTACTGAGTCCATCAGGGAGTAGAAATGTAACACACTAGGCCAGAAAATTTTCACTTCTTGGACTGCTGCAAAAAAAACTCTAGAGATTTTCGAAAATGAAATGCACAATTTATTCTTCAGGTGCTCATATTATTTAAAGTAACAAAATGATTGGCCTCTTATTTAATAAATTTGAAAAAGTAATATTTATTTGAAACAGTATGAAATAAAAGATTGTAGGACACACATCTGTGAAGCTGCTACTACGTGTAAGTTTCTAAAAGTACCTACTTACCATGCATCAAAAATTTGATTTCAGATATTATTATGGTACAGCACTCGGCTACCCTACACGAAGTAGAAAAAAGTGTGGGAGAATGGTTCCGGTTGTCCAATCAAAGAAAAAAGAGGGTAGAAAAAAATTCAAAAGATTGAATTCTAAAATGAAAATTTAAACCTTTTTCCTTTAGTAATAAGTTGTTTTCATCATTTCTTGGAATGAATGATTGGTTTTTTTTTTATTTTAGTTTTAAGAGTTAGATTATAACATTTTAAGTTTTTTTTATAGTCTATTTTTGAGAAAGAAAGAGTTATTACTATTAGTAATGCATCAGAATGTTGTTTTCCATTTTATAAATACATATTATTCAAAACTATTCTTGCATTAGTCTTTTTCTTTAACCTTCCTTTTCCTTGAAAGTGAGTTGAGTACTTATATTTTTTTCTTTGTCAGTGTGCCATGGCTGTTGATTCTGCTTTGAGTCCACGTGGATAGAACAAAAAACTGGTAGTTCTTAAATTTGACTACCTTTAAACTTAATCCTTTAGACTTGAAATTTTTGATTTTTAACATCTAAAAATTTAACAAGAAATTTATCTATCACTTTTTTGTTGTGATTCACAAGGAAATTTTATGTTAATATATTAAAATCACATTAACATAATTATTGTAAAGTAAAATCGATTATAGGAAACCTTGGGGAAGGTAATTAAACTATGTGAAATTTATGTTAAATTTATGTAGATAAATTTAACATAATGTGAATTTTATGTAAAAAATGATCAAATATCAATTATTATATTATGTTACAATTATGTAACTTTTCATATAATATTCACGTGAATCTTATGTGAATACTGGTAATATTTATGTAAAATTATTTGTAAAATTTACATAAGCTTTGTTACATAATATGGTTTCCATAAATCTGACATAAATTTAACATCTACTTGAGCATGACATTATGCATTACATTTAAGTTAAATTTTACCTTATTTTGACCTAAAAAATACTTGAAAATTATATAATAATGTAAAGTGGTTATGTAAATTTTAACCTTAAATTAATGTAACTGTGTTTACTGGGTAAGTTCGGCCAGGTAAGATATTATGGAAACCATAGACCTTACGGCTTCGGGATTTTTTTTTTCTTCACTGAATCGGCCAAGAGAAATTGATGGAAATTATTTTCAAGTTTCTAGGATTTCCGGTAGGGGACGCAATTACGATGATATAACTAAAAATTCAAATTTTCTCAAGAAATCGCTATATTAAGATACTGTTTTGAAAGCAGAAATCGAAAGTTCATTAATTTTTGCGTCAGTTTGGTCTTTAAGCTTTTTTCCTATCTTCTGGAGGAAGCTGGTGAAGAAATAGTTTTAAAAATTGCTGTATCTTCTATACCCCTTATCCAAATTCATTCAATTTGGGCTTATTTAAAAGAGAATTTCATTGTTATTAAGAACACCACTTCATTCGGGGTCGATAGTTCCCACCGCGTCTTCTAGAGGGCGCTGTTTAACCAAGATCCAGTTTTTTCAAATTTTCTTGAAAAATCCAAATGGCATGATATTTTTTTTTTATTGCCGTGCTTGAAGAGCAAAAAAATATATCAATATCTGCATTTGTTTTCAAGTTACTTAAGATGGTTTCCATAATATACCTGGCCGACCTTAGTGGGACACCCTGTATATTATGTCGCAAAATAAATTTTACGCTGTTAATCTACATTGGGCCAATACTGTGTATATATATTATTTACATAATTATATAGGTACCTTGAATCAAAAAGATAATACTTATTTACATCCAGTTCTCCTTTTGTTTTAATTTTACCAACATACCTATTAAATAGGGAACTTTACAATTTTTTTTTTTATTTTTTTAAATCATTTATTTATGCCTTAAAAGAGTGTTCTCCAAATATCATTCCCTAAAACTCAATAATAACTTGGTGAAGAATATTTAAAGTTTCGCGCGTATTAAAAGCATTTCAAACGATCTAAAATGCGCGAATCTGGATGACGTCACGTAGTATGATTTTGCGTCACCTTGTCGCCAAACGTTATACTTCATTGTATTTAATTTGGTTGATTTCCACATTTTCCACCATTATTTGTTTTGTTGTTGTTTTCTGTTGCAGTGAGTTGTAAATTTTGAAGTTATAATGGAAAACAAGATTCGCACATACTTACTTTTGCTACCATAAACATATCACAAATTACAGATTGTCGGATTGGCCTTTGAAATTTCCTTCTTCGGTCATAATTAATAGGTATATCGCTTTATTTATGTAATGCTGAGCTAATCATCGAATTTAAGCTAAGTAAACCAATTCTAATAATGATAAAATTTTAAAAAAAATAGACAAAAACGTGAATAAACACAACTAACGGGTATTTATTATGTAGAGTTCGAGCTGCTGTTTTGTTCTTTTATCCCTGTTCTTCTCATTATAAGGAAAAAAGACGGAAAATGCTCCGAGCGCTCAGTGTTTCAAGACGAACTCACGATGATGGACGTTTGCTGACAGACACTGACAGATCATACTAGATGACGTCACGACCAGTACCAGCGCGTTTTTTCCCGCTGGAAATAATTTGAATTTTTCCGCATTTTTAATTCCTTATTGCGGCCATTCGCGACAAAAGAAAATGGTTTTTTTCGCTGATATATGTTTTAAGATATATATTCTTATGATTTATAGTAATATTTTCATGTTTAAATTTTTTGTCAAGTTCCCTATTATCATTAATTCCTTCCTATGATATATGGCTAATCCTCTGGCATAATACCACTATTCATTTTTTAACTAACACCTATAGAAAATATAGGTACTATGCAAATGCACGTCTTCCAGAATTTTTCTTGTATGAACAAAATTCGGACACCGACGCCACAGCATCTAGCAGTGTTCAAAGAGGCAATGTTGTCAACTTGCCGAAATATATTATTTAGAGAACTCTTAATTTCTATTGGGTGTATAAAAACACAAATTTGTGAGTTTTTCAACTCATAAAATAAGTAAATAAATAATTGAAGTATTTTTAGTTTTAGTTTTCTCTAAGTCTAGACGAATTAACAATCGAACTAAAATACAGAAAATTTGCAACATAAAAAACTAATAATACCTATTATATCTACACTACCTAATAAAGGCATTAATTTAAAACATTATGTGAATGTAAATGTGTCTGGGGCATGGGCGTCGTTTGGGGGGGGGGCAAGGGGGGGCATTTGCCCCACCCCTAGAAATTGTCTATTGAACAAAAAAGCAGTGAAAGAGAGTTCGTATTCGTATCGATTTTTTTCCATTAAAAAGTGTACTCGGTGCACGCTCATTCACGTTCGATTATTAAAGCTTCGAGCCCTCTGATACAGCGTTCAACTGCTCTGTGCGCTCGCTGGTGACGTGATTACAGCTCCGCTCTGCTCTTCGAGTAAAATACCGAACGCAAGGATAATCTGAATTATTTTTAACCGAACTGCGCATGACATAAGTTGGCACGCATCGAAAAAGCTTGCAGCTTGCAGGAGGGGGCCTTGGGGTGGATTTTCATGCATCCGTTTTTCCGACGAAATATGTCCGAAAAACATTCTATTCTGACATAATCGTATATAAATATGTCAAAATAGAAGACTTTTCGGACATATTTCGACGGAAAAACGGATGCATGAAACTCCGGCCTTATTCTGTACGAACCGTTCGATTCGGTAGAATTTCTTCGATTGTGACGTCATTTTTGGTTTGGTTTTCGCGCTACCAAACCGAAAATGACGTCACAATCGAAGAAATTCTACCGAATCGAACGGTTCGTTCCTTACAGAATAAGGCCCAGGCTTGCACTTCAGAGTCGGCGTGTATGTTAGCACGGAATTGATTTGAGGATGCCAACGTTAAACAACATTATCCTAGCATGCGTGCCGAAGTGTCACTTCGCTACCAGATTGATTGAGGATGAGCCTTTAAGTAGGTATAAGCGGAATGTTTTTTTTTTTTTTTAGGTGAAATTCTAGTTTTTGCTTCCCTCTATAAATTTGGATTGTTCTGTGAGGACTAAAACTCTAAATCTATTTTTTTGTCAAAAAATCGACGGTTTTAATAAAAAATAATTAATAAATATTTACCTTTCAAAAAAACCGTATCAATATCAACATTTTTTTTTCAGGTAATGGATATTAGAATTTTTTTCTCCAAAAGTTGGTGACCCTGACTCTGGACAAAAAGATGAGAATTCATCATCACCAGTAAAAAAAAAATTAAACAAACAGATTTACAGTCTGAGCCATCACCTGGAACTAGTGGAACTTCTCACCGAACACCTTCTTTTAACTCATTTGATCTCGGTTTATACTTAAACAGTCAATCATTAACCGACGATGTTAAATACAAACTTTTAAAATATCCTTATGTTCCGGGTACCCAATACAATTTTAAAAATGATGTTGCATATTGCATTAAGAGGTAAACAATCACAGGATGGAAACTTTAACGATTTGTTAAAACTAAGAGTTGAAAGTGGTGATGTGGATCTTGATAATCATCTAAAAACTTGCCACACCAAACAAAAATATACCTCAGTACAAACTCAAAATAATCTAATTGAAATTTGTGGAGATATCATTCGAAAGAGAAGAATTTCCGAAGCAAATGATTCTGAAGCTCTTTCTTTATTAGCTGACGAGACCGCAGATATTTTCGGTCATGAGCAGTTGTCACTAGGGCTAAGATTCGTCGATAAACAGAACAATATTCGGGAAGAGTTTCTCGGATTTGAAAAATTGACTGCTATGAATGCGAAAACGATAGCTAGTACTATAATAGATTTCATGAGAATACATGGTGCAAATTTAGAGAAACTTGTCGGTCTTGGGTTTGATGGGTGTTCCACGAAGGCCGGAAAAGATAACGGTGTACAAAAGCTTATAAGAGATGAATACCCTTTGGCGACATATTTCCATTGCAGCTCCCATAGACTTAATTTGATGGTAAATGATCTTAACAAAGTTCAACAGATTCAAAATACCATCGGTACTATCAAAGAAATAATTAATTTTTTTCGGGATAGTCCTAAAAGAAGAAGCAGGGTAACAAATATTCCTCTTTTATCAGAAACCCGCTGGACATCAAAATATAAATCTTTGCGGATATTTTCAGAGAAATTTTTGGATATAAGAAGTACTTTAGAAAATATGTCGATGGACCAAAACTTTAATTTACAGACAAGAACAAAAGCAAATATTTTTTTAAATTCAGTGTCCAATCCTGTTTTCCTCGTTTGCCTTAAAATTATATCTAGGTATTCTGCTCAGCTAGAACCAGTAACTAACAAACTTCAAGGTGTATCTGTGGATTTACTTTCCGTAAAACAGCATATTGATCAATTACTGACAATATTTGCAAATGATAGAGAAAATTCTGAAGATATATTTTCCTCAATTTTTAAAGAAGTTAAAGACATCGCGCAAATAACAGATATTGAAATTAAAATGCCAAGGACCGCTGGACGAC